CTCTAAATGGACGAAATGTTCCATTTGTAAATAGGGCAATTTTTTAGGTGTAATCTTCGATAAGACTGCACATAGAAATGATTGAACCAAAGGCCTTCAGAACATTCATTAGAGTGATTGAGCGCTAACATTAATCTGATCCTCCACAAAACTCTTATTAGATCCATAATGACTTATGCTAGTCCCACCTGGGAGTTTGCGGCAGACACCCATCTAGTGAAATTGCAGCACCTGCAAAACAAGGTTCTCCGCACCACTGGCAATTTTCCAAGGCGCACACTGGTCCGCGATTCACACATGGCATTCAAAATCCCATACATATATGATTATATAACAAAATTATGCAGGCAACAAGCAGAAGTTATACAAAATCATGTCAATGTAAATGTTAGCAATACTGGTCAAGGCGAAGCCCGACACAGAAAGTATGAGAAGCTTAAACTTGGCGGCGGTCAGGCATAAGACCGTTCAAGTGACTAGACTGCCGTGGTAGCAAATATTACTAGAAATAGGGCATAATCTGCTGTACTAAGCCTGGACTGGCAGAGGCCTTGTATATGTATTTTGCACACTGGAGCAGATACAAGTATAACTTTGTAAATAAGTGTACATACTGACAAGAGACTTAATATCACCGACTACAACTGACAAATGACAGACCCAACCTCTCGTTAGAGGTCGCCCCACATGGACAGGACAGTAACTTTCGTATAAGAAGAAACATCTGGTCATGAACTTCAGCTGTGGCTCGACACCAGGACAGACAGCCTGACTGACCGTCAGTTGCAACATAACTTTGAACTTCGACTTTTAGGCTAGCATCAGTCACATCCATTGCTGCTACATTGCCACAAAGAGATCACTGTGGCTTCAACTATATGCAGTAACAGCACCATGGAGCCGACTTGCCGGCGCATGCATCGTAGCTCTGCTAGCCAGACAGACTTTGCTGCCATCCCGTCAGCTCGCGATCACCGAGTGGACGCAAAGAAGAATCCTGGGCTGCTACAAAAAAGATGCAGCTAGGCAAATGGCCCTTTAGGGGCCTGCACCTGGCACCATCATCACTGGACAGGACTAGCTGCTACAAAAGGAGTCTCCACTGACATCATTCAGACACGCTCCCCGCTCTAAGAGCAACAAACATTTATTGGTACAGCTACATGCTTGTCTCAGCTAACATAGACATCCCACAAGTTGTAAGTTTTGAGGTTTTCACGGCGATGACTATGAAGAAAGTCGTCTTCTGGGTTTTGGCGCCATGTATTCTTCGTTTTGGCCGACATTCCTCCAAAACGTCGGCCAAAACGAAGAATACACGGCGCCAAAACCCAGAAGACGACTTTCTTCATCCCACATTTTTGGTCACGTAATGCCCTGAGCAGACAGCCTTGTTGAAGAGAANCTGTGTAAGAGTTATGGATGTCAAATATCCCATCCACCCTGCTCCCCTGATTTTGTGCCGGCTGACCGTTTTTTATTTCCTAAATTAGAAATTGCGATGAAAGGCAATATTCGATGCTGTTTCATTGATCCAACAGACTGTGATGAGAGAACTGAAGGCGATGTGGGAAGAAGCGTTTTCTTGGGCATTTGGTTCATTGTATGAGCAATGTAAACATTGTGCGGAAGCAGGCGGGGAGTATATTCAGTATTGCTATTAATAAATATTTTTTTATTTTTCTGTGTGTTTCTATATGGCCTCAGTTTGGGAACTTAATTGTCACACGGTATATGCTTGTGGTTAAGCACAGTGAGTGATAAACTGGTGTATTAAAACTGACAGGTGATTCGTTCAAATAATTCCCATTCGCTGCGGTGCTGAAATTTTGTCAAGAAATGTTTCATGTTCTAAGAGTAAACTACCTGGCCATCTACACTTTCATCTGTCCAGAATCCTCCATCTATTATTGTGAGCTACCCACTCAATGGTGCTTATTCAGTTATTCCCAATAAATACCACATGCATTTCCTGAAGTGTTAAGTGTGGGCAGGAAGTACAGATTGGCATCATTGTCATTAATGGCACCCATACATTGAGGCCTAGGTGTAGAAGATGTCCAGCATATGGTCAGCCAGGCTCTTGAAGGCCAACTAACATGTTGAATTTTGAAATCTGTTCTTCTCCGGTCAAAACTAGTATTTCTAATTACTAGATCTGCTGTAAATAGTTAAACAGCCCTCTAAACAGAACCAGCATATTTTGGGATGAGGAAGAAGATGGAAGGAGTTTCATATGTGATGTGACTGGTTGTTTTTATTTTTATTAGATGGTAATGGGAAAGCAGAAGAATAGAAGAACAAACAAACTTGTGTAACTTTGTAACCGCTCTGTCTGGCCCCTTGGTTGGGCACCACTCCTCCTCTAACCGTTCTGTCTGTTAAGGCCCCTTGCGTTGGGTGCCACTCCTTCTTACCGTCCTTCTCCGGCAGTCCTCTGAAGAGCCCTTTGGTTGCTGGTTGCATCTGCTCCTCTAGCCGTTCCCTCTCACCTGTTGTTACTTCGAGTTGGCAGGTTGCTGCTGCGTCCTTCCTATCCAGTTCTGTTTCCCTTTTTGTTGTTCTGGTGGATAATAGTTTGCGGGGTATGGGTTATCGGAGTGCTGGGCGCCAGTAAGCTTACTGTAACGGCTTATATTTTGGGGAAAAGGGGGGTTGAACTGGAAACTACAGGTGCTAGGTACCGCGTTCTCACTGGAGCGATGAGATTCAGTCTCAGAGTGAATACGGGCCTCGCGTCAGCAGGAAAGAGAAGAGTGTTTTAGGTAGGCACTAACACACACTGTTTAATTTGCCGATCTTGCTACACACGTACATTTAACAGCACTTCCTTAAAACACATGGAAATCTCTCCAACGTTGCCGACCGGATCCCTGGCTAGTTAGTTAGCGGCTGTTACTTTTAGCACAAACCCTTAGAATTGCACTTTCACTTATACTTTTAGCACAAAGAAAATTTCACGTTAAATTTAGAAGAGTTATCCAGAGATTGTTCCTGCAAACACTTAAACATAATTTCGGCTGTACTCTTGGAGGGTTGTTCAGAGACTCCTCTCACAGACTGACCCTTGCTTCGAAGCAAGAAATCTTCGCGGCTTCAGCTCCGCCTCCAAGTTACTACCCTAATTTCTGCTGATTGGAACAATTCGAATTTAGGGAGTTAACCATAATTCTCACTGCTCCAATCACATAACTTTAATTTGGGACTTTGGACCTTAAAGTCCTAACGCCGTCTTAGACAGCTGCCTGAAAAATTATACCAGTAGCGTGGGTTGCTGGCCTTCCCACTTTTGACTTATGGGGTTCAAAACTTGTCAAGTGTAACTTTACCAAAGGATCCCGCCGGTCAACTTTCTAACTGAATTTCCAGGAAAACTCTGCGGGGTGCTTCCTGTCTGGTCTTTGTAGCTGTGAAGCAGGCCCTATTCTTGAAACCAAGAATTGGGCTAAGTCACCCTTGAGTGTTCCTTGCTACATCTTGTGTATAATTACTCTAAAAAGAAATACTGATTACAAATAAAGATGGCGGTGTCAGTGGTACGGCTACAACTTAAGAGTAGTTTAAATTAAATTTTTCAAATGGTGAATAAATTCTAATAATAATGGTATTCCTAGAACATTAGGAAATCATATTCCAACTGAAGTTGTTGATAAAAAATGGAGCACCTGCTGTATTAATTTTATCAGGAAAAAGAACTCTGTGCACAATTTATAGGCTCACAGAAACTAAAGAACCTTTGCCAAGCAAAATTTTTAAATGACGCAAGAAAGAATCAGTACTGCAGAATGGAGTTCAACATATCTAAAAATTATTATTATTATTATTATTATCATAAAACAATTAGGTGATTAGGTAATTCCCAATATGATTTCATAATACTGTACACATACAAGGTGTGGCAATAAAGAAACCGGATTCATGCTCTAACCCTTTATTAAAAAAAATCAGACAGTCGAAATGTTATCCCCCTTCAATGTAGTCCCCTCCCCGATCCCTACACCGCTCCATGCGAATTTTCCACTGTTGGAAGCAGTGCTGCAGGTCATCTTGTGTTATGCTCTTCAAGAGTTGCGTCGCTTTTGCTTTCACTGCATCCACGGACTCGAACCTGGTCCCTTTCAGCGCAGACTTGATTTTTGGGAAGAGAAAAAA